TCTTATAAAAAAAAGCTTCTGCACAGAAAGAGATTCAACCAATAGCGTAAAGCAACAACCACAATGTGGGAAAAACTTTTCACCATCTCTTCCTCAGACAAATTTCTGCTATCTAGAGTACATAAAGAACTAGGAATATAGGTCTCATTTGACCCAGCTATTCCTCTACTGGTTATCTTCATGAAAGAATTAAAAGAATCATACCACAGTGATGTTTTTGCACCTGTGTTCATAGCGGCAATAGGTAAAACTTGGAAACAGTCCAACTGCTCATCAACTGGAGATTGCACAAAGAAAATGTGGTTTTTAAAAAATAAAATGGAGCACTACTCAGCCATAAAGAATGAGAAATTAGAGTCATTTATAGTTAAATGGATGCACACTGAGGAGATCCTCTTATGTGAAATAAATAGTACACGTGCAAATACTGAATAGTTTCTCCAGTGTGTGAAACTGAAATGTAAATATGGGTCAAAATAAACAATAGATAATGGTAAAATAATGGGAAGAAAAATTGCAAAGAGGAATGGTAAGGAAAGAAGGGAATTGAATTAATGTGAGAAAAATGAAGAAAATGGAAACAAAATCTTTGTAAATAGGGGTGGAGGGTTTAAGGGAGGGCAGGGAAATCGAGGAAAAGAAAAATTAAGTTATATCATGTAAAGGTGCAAATCCCCAATGATGCATGTCATCATATTGTATACCTCAAATGTAGCAATAAAATTGATCAAATAAAAGATATTATCCTGTTTGCTTTCTTTTTTTCTCCCCCTCTTCAAATTTGATGATTTCTAATGACTTATCTGAATTCACTGCTACTTTTTCCCACTGGCAGACCTAGACTATATCTGATCTACAAATGTGAACTCTTCTAGTGAAGTGTTGTATTCAATTATTGTATTCTTCAGGTCTATAATTTCTGTTTTGTCATTTTTAATATTATCCATTTGTCAAAAATATGACTTCATTCATTTATTACTCTCCAGACCAGAGAGAAAGAGAGAGAGACACTAGATATCAAGATACACAAGCTCTCTACAATAGAGGTGTATATCTAGCCCAGGGCAAGCATCTCCCTGTATTTTTTATTACAATGTGTTATGTGTATGTTAAAGATACATTTGAAAGTGCATGTGCATATCTAAAATTTTTATATTTGCTCGGAGAATGAACTTTTAATGTCTGTGAGGTTAGCTCTACCTCTAATCATACTTTTTATTTTTAAAATCAAGAACCTCTATTCTTTTGCTATGGTACTGGGGATTGAACCCAGGACTTTTGCACTGAGATACACATCCAAGCCTTTTTTCTATCCTTCCTTCCTTCCTTCCTTTCTTTCTTTTTGCTGGAATCTCAAGCTGCTGTTTCCCAGGCTGGGCTCAAACTTTGCAATTGTCTTGCTACAGTCTTGTGCCACACCCTCCAGCCAAGCCGCTTTTCTTAGCACTAATACATTGCTACAATTTATTTTCCCTAGTATATGTTTGTAACGATTTGATTTTCAATGAATATTTCATATGATTATATTTTCTCTTATGAATTGTTGCACCTGGGGTTATAAAATTTAATCTGACATTCTTTGTTTTCTAACTGGCGGATTACATCCTTTGTATTAAATCTCATTTTTGATAAATTTGGCCTATGTAAATCTTCCTGTTATACTTTAAATTCTTTCTGAAATTTTCTGTAGTTTTATTCTATTAAATTTTATAGAATAATGATGTTTTTTTAAAAAAATGTGGAGTTTGTTCCCATTCCTCCCAGAGTTAGTATTTTTGAGTTTTGTACATACTGAATTTGGACAGGTGCACAGGGGCAATACTGTGGTGTAAGAAACACTTGCTCTCCTCTAAAATTTTACACAATTCTATTTCCATCTAATAAAATTCTCATGATTTTATTTTTATCCCTCACTTATCTATGTAATACTAAATTTCAAAATGTAATACTAAACAGCAATACCAAGAAAGAAGCTCTTGTTTCCTATCTCTGTGGCCCAAAACACACATCCCCACCCACCTTCTTCCTCCTGCATCCACTTACCTCTTATCCACACACTGGATTCCACTGCTTGACTGTGTTCAACAAGCTGGATGGCACATGATACATTGCCAGTATTTTCTTGGATTGTAAAGGAGGTTTCCACATTAAATAGATTGTTCCTGTCTGAATTCGTCTTATAGCCTGAGGATAAAACTTGTCCTTTTGGACCTTTCCATTTCACCGTAGGCTTGGGAAACCATCCTGAGGACTGGCAGAGTAGTTGAATACCTCCATCACCATATCCCATGACAGAGATCACAGGAGTTGAGCCTAGAGCTGGGGAAAAGAAAGAATCAATAAAAGTAATGATTGTATTTCAATTTTGCAGCTACCCTGAGTCAGATTCATGGCTCTGCCCACAACACCTATATGTTTTACATAGGCATACATGTGTACTTACAACACCACTGGAAGTCTTTCCATGATGTTTGTTCATTAAATGTTTATCTAGCAGCTAAATATATCTGGCTATTCTTAAGTACTAATAGTGATGACATTCAAAAGACAGAATCCGTTTGAGTTAATTAAATCAGAAAACAATGATAAATGAGTTTCATTTTCAAGTGTTACCGTGGGAGGGTAGTCATGTTAGCATAGAGGAGGGAGTGGTAAAGGTGAAGTAAATTAAAGCTTCCTAGAAGTGCTTTTTGAACCCTCATTGACTGATAAATTGGAGGCTTAGAAATGAAAAAGTGGAGGTGAGAGAGAAGCATGTCAGAGAGATAGAGATATAAACTGTGTAAAAGATGGACATGTTGTGGTGCATTCAAGAATCTGATAGTTCAGTGCCTCCAAACGGCTGTACAAGTCACATTTATATAGCTACAAGAAAAATTAAAATACTTAAATTCAACCAAAGATGTGACACTATACACTTTACACTAAAAAGTATAAAACATAGGAGTTAGAAATAAAGAAATAGATATATCCCATATTAATGGATTGAAAAGATTGATATTAAAATGTCCATACTACCCAAAGCAGTGTGCAGATTCCATGTAATCCCTCATGATCTCATCTATAAATTGAAATTGTTGATCTTGCCGAAGTTGGGAGTAGAAAGGCAGGTGACATATGCTAGGCATTACCTATATAGGACACTGGGAATATGCTGGTCAAAAGGTATAGATAAGTATAGCTGGGAAGGAGGAATAAATTCAGTATTTCTATTGTACAGCAAGGTGTATATAGTTGATGATATATTATACTCTTGAAAAATGCAAATACAGTGGATGTCAAGTGCTCCCAGCTTAGAAATGAAAACTATGTTTGATAATAATTTTGTTTGTTAGCTACATTTAACTATTGGTCCTTGCACATATACTTCAAAACATGTTAGATATGATTAACACACACAATGTTATCTATCATATATATATATATCCATAATTACATATATATTTTAATATATATACCAAACAATACCAAAGGTTGACGGATATTTGGAAAATTGGAACACTTATACATTGCTAGTAGAGATGTAAAATAAATGAGACAGTCACTCAGGGTAAAAGTCCGGCAATTTTTTTTCAGTACTGGCAACTGAACACAGGGCCTTCACACAGAGCAACATCAGTGCTTTTTAATGTTTTATTAGTTATTTTGGCACAAAATCTCACTAAATTACTAAATTTTCCAGCTTTGGCTTGAACTCAGGATCCTCCTGCCTCAGCTTCCCAGAGTGTTGGTTGGCAATTTTGTTTAAAATATTACTTATTATACACTTAATATACTTATCACATTTAAGTATATACTTAAATAATAATTCACTTAAATATACACTTATTATAAATATATACTTATATAAAACCAAGAAGTACACTAGGATATTTATTCCAAACAAATGTAAACTTAACTCCACAAAAGAGCTATAAACAAACATTCATAGAAGTTTTATTTGTAATATTCCAAAATTGCAAACAACTCAAATGATTTTCAGTGGATAAATGGTTAAATTATGGTATATCTGTATCTTGGAATACTATTCATCAGTAAGAGAAAAAAACTATTCAGAAAAGCAGCTTGAAAGGATCCCAAGGGCAAAATGCTGAGTGAAAGAAATTCAATCCCCAAAGATCACATACAGATGGAGGAACACAAGAGGGCTGATTACAAGTGCCCAGCATTTACCCACTTCTTGATGAGACAGAACTACAATAACTGAACTGGAGAAAAGTTATTCATCCAAGAGAGTGACTGGGAAAATACTGAACTTCAGTAGTGGACAGAGGAATGGGAAACTTAGGCAGAGACACCAAGTAAGCACAAATGGGAAGGACCTGTTTAGAGCTTCCTTCTCTGAAGTCAAAGACCTCTGCATTCCCCTGCCCCTAGGAACCAGCATCAAGCATTGACACAAAAACTCAGCAGGTGTCTGCCTTGAGACCCACACTAACTCTGGGGAGAACCACAAACCAACCTGCAGGAAATTATACATGGTGGGAAAACTATGTGACACTGAAAAAAAAAAAGGGAGGACATTTCACCTTTAAGATCAGCAGCTCAGAGGCACGTATGACTAGTTCAGACTTGTAAGTCCAATGTTCTAGGAGACTGAGGCAACAGGATTGCAAATTCAAGCCCAGATTAAGTAACTTTGAAAGACCCTGTCTTCAAAAGAAACAAAAATGTTGGACATATAGCTCAGTGAAAAAGTCCTTGGTTCAATCTGAAAGGGGGGTGGGGGAGGTGGGAGGAATGAAGGAATGAAGGAAAGAAGGGAGGGAAGGGGAAATAAAAGACTGGAAGCTAAGGAGGTAGCTGCAAACCTGAATATTTTCACGTGGGAACAGAGTCTTGAACACCAGAGCTGTGAGGGTTGGGTTGTGTGGGACTCACTGCTTTTCTTCTCGGTGCGGATAGCTGTGACCTCATCACTTCACCTCACCCTGCAAGTGGGCATCATAAAGGGCCAGAGCCAAAGCCATCCTGACCAAAAAAGAGCAAGGATGGGGCATCACAATACCCACTTTCAAAATATACCGTGCCATAGTAAACAAAACATGTTACTGACAAAAATCAGACAAGTAGACTAAAGTAAGAGATGGAGGACCCAGAAATAAACTCATGCAGGTACAGAAAACTGATTCTTTTTTAAAAAAATGATTTTATTGGTACATTTAAGGACCGACAACTGATTCTTGATAAAGTTGCCAAAAACATACATTAAAAACAAGCTTTTCAACAAATGGTGTTGGAAAACTAGACTTCTATCTCATCCTATACAAAAATCAGCTCAAAACAGACCAAATACATTAATTTAAGACCTGAAGTTTTGAAAGGACTAGAACAAAACATGAGCAAAACATTTGAAGATACTGACATATGCAACCGTTTCCTGATAGGACTCCAATACTCAGGAAGCAGAAGTAAGACAAATAGAATTTCACCAAATTAAAAAGCTTCTGCATACCTAAGGCATCAATCAGTGGAGTGGAGAGATAACCTACGGAATGTGAAAATCTTTGCAAACTATTTGTCTGACAGAGGATTGATAACAAGAATGTACAAAGAACTCACAATCTTAACACCAAAAGAATAAGTAATTAATTAAGAAATGGGCAAATAACGACACTACTCAAAAGCAGAAGTATTGTCAGTAATTTTTTTTAAATGCTCAATATCTTTAACTATCAGGGAAATAAAAATCAAAGCTATGTTGAGATTCCATCTCACTCCAATCAGAAAAATGAAACACAAACAGAACTAATAACTACTGTTAAGGAGATGGGGAAGAAAGAACATTTTTATAGCCACTATGGAAATCAGTAGGGAGATTCCTCAAGATAGTAAAAATAAAACTGCAGTATGATCCAGCTATATCACTCCTGAGTATTTATCCAAAGGAAACAAACTCAGCATACAAAAAGGATAAGTGTTTTGGAATCATTCTAGGTGCCTATCAAAAGGTGAATACATCAAGAAAATATGTATTTTGAAAAAAGAAAATATGTATTTTTATGTCCAATGGGGTATTGTTCAGCCATAAAAGAATAAGTTATGTCCTTTGCAGTAAGATGGATGAAATCAAAGTCATTATGTTAAGCAAGATAGACTCAGAAACACAAGTACTATACATCTTTTTTTTTTCTGTATGTGGAAACCAAGCCAAAAAAGAAAACAGAGAGAGAAGATGACCTCAAGGTAGAAGAGGAAGTATTGGAAAGGGGAAGTAAAGGAAGGGAAGGGATGAGCAAAAGGGGATGATAGGGTAAAAGGGAGGGTGAGTATGATCAAAGTAGGTTATATGTATGCATGGAACTATCACAGTGAAACTTATTAGTAGGTTCAGTTATTATACATTACTGGAGGTTAGAGGAAGGAAAAAAAGAAAGAAAAAACTGAAAGTAAGAAGGGAAAATGGAAACAAAGCTTTTTTTTTTTTTCTTTCTGTTTTTGGTACCGGGAATTGAACTCAGGTCCTTGCACTTGCGAGGCAGGCGGCCGAAACACTGAGCCAAATCCCCGCTCAAGCTCATGTATATAGCGGGTGGAGGAGGGAAGGGAGGGAAGGGGAACGGGAAAAATAAGCATCAAGGTACATCAAGTACGTGTACAAATTCTCAATAATGAATGTGATCCTAAGGTATACCTAAATGTGCCTATAAACTCAGTAAAACTACGATGCATTAATAATTATAATGAAAAACTTTGCATATACATGTTTCCACTTACATAAAATTCTTAAAATGACAAAATTATGAAGATAGAAAACAGATTTAGTCTTTGCTGTAGTTTGGACTGGTGACACAGGATGACGTGTGAGTGTGACTATACAATGAGAGCAGAGGAAGGCTTTGGTGGTGGGATTGTTGTATACCTTGATATGGAGTTAGTTATATGAACCCACACAAAGGATAAAATAAGATATAGCACACACACCAACAGAACAGAAAGTGTAGGATGCTGTCTTCTAACTGCACGACATAAAATTTTAAATATCCAAATTTAACAATGGTCAAAATATCCAAGATTATGTAATTAAATTATAATTTCTCTGATATAAAGAACTGACCTGACACTTTCAGCTCCCAGATAGCCTCTCTGTCATAGGTCTGGGAGTTAAACCAGCACCCGTATAGACCAGCATCTGAAAGCGTGATGTTCTTCAATACCAGGGAGACATGCCCATCTGCCATGAAGTCCTTCACCAGTACAGTTCTCCCTCGATAGGCTGGTACTTGCAAGTACTTCTGGTCTTCTCCATCCTTGTACAGGTGGACCACAGTGGAGAATCGCTCCTTGAAGAACCTCACTTCCATGGCCTCTGCATTTGTCGCAGGAGAGAGGAAGCAGGAGAACACTGTGTCCTCCCCCACCAAGGCACCTACAGGCTTGTATGGTCCAAGCACCTGCCATTGGCCTGTGGGAAGAAACACAAGTGATACCAAAGCAATAGCCGTGTCAGTGTGTCAGTGTGTCAGTGTGCTAAACAAATACCCTACCGTTGTGCTATAGCAGCCCAATGTGGAATACTAAGATTCCCACTTTCAAGATGTGAAAATTACATCTTTGCCAACTAGTGTAAATTATCAAGAAGAATGGTGTTCGCATATGTAATCCCAGCTACTCAAGAAGCTGAGACAAAAGATAAATTTGAGGCCAGCCTGGGTAATTTAGCAAAATGTTGTATTAAAGTTTTTTAAATTTTAAAATTGTTTTAAAAAGGTGGGGATGTAGCTAAGTGAAGGAGTCAGTCTTCACTAATGCACATGCATGCACGCACACACACACACATGCACACACAAGACACATGAGCACATTACCAATGTAGACCTTCTTGTGCTCGCTTTGGCAGCACACATACAAATGTAGACCTTCTTAGTAGAAACTTTCTCTATATTCACAATAGCGTCATCTGTCTGCCTGTGTCTCATAGAATATTCATCACTGCCCTTTTCTATCTTTGTTGCTTAAAATTCTTTTAAGTTACCAAGAAATGGTTTACATGACCATAAAATCTTCATATGGTGGCAATTTGTTTCATGTACATGATTGTGTCTCTCAAGTGCTACAAAGGTAGCATATATATTATCTATAAGTTAAATGTTCATTTGTGTTTCCTTATTTTTTAAACCTTCTCCTACTTTTGTTAAGTAGATTTTACAGTGTTTAAATTTTCCCCTTTAGTGTATTCACATCATGACATATCTTTTCTTGAACCTTTTGTATTTTTATTTTATCATCTTCTAATTTGGAGTTGGGATGACTTTAAAGATTTGTCAAAATGCATACATGAGTAAATTATCTGCTGCTGGGACAAAATACTTAACATATAAGACTTAAAGAAGAGGGCCAGGGATTTAGCTCAGTGGTTCCACACTTTACCTAGCCAGCTCTTTATGCTGTCAGTTGTCTTGCCAATAGGAGTTCCTTCCGTTCTTTCATAGTCATTACCCGGGATACCAGTGAAGAAAAACTTGTTGATAACACCCTATGGGTCACTGGAGCTCTTACCATGTACTGCATAGCCACAGGCTCAGGCATGCCTCCCTACGGCTCTGTCAGGAATGTGATACGCTCTTCATACGAGGACAAGCAAACTGATATTTAGAGAAATTATGACCCTTGCAGTTTACAAGTAGAGGATGAAATGGGAGTTTAAAAAAATACAGTCTTTCTGCCTCTGGAATCATTTCCTTATTGCCCTTCTCACTTTGCTGGAAAAAGAAAGCATGTGAAAGCTTACGCAAGAACCTCTTTTATGAGTAACACATAATACATTTATCTTGGAAGCATAAGGAATATTTTGAAAGCCTTATTTCCCATTTCTTAGTTTGTGTAGCAAAACAGGTATAGGTAGACAGAGGACAAGATGCAGAAAGACAGAAGATGCACAGTCATCTGAATATTTCAAGGCTGGATACTGAGTACTCAGAAATATGTGTCCACTCCTGGAGAGGTCCCTGTGAAAATTTTATCCAATTACTCAATATCCTATGTACCAGGCTTTGTGATGACAGTGACTACAAGAAAGACGAGTGGAGTTATTCCTCACTTAAATATCTGGGAACCTTGCTCCATAAATACAGTTATTTCTAACTCTTCATGTTCACAGGTGGATACTATGCACCCTCACACATTCTAACCAGTATCTCCTTCCACTCAGACAACCAAATCATAAACCTGGATGCTCTACTAGAGACTACCCATACCTAAATCCCCACAACCTGTCTGAGAAATCATTTAACTGAATTATCTAAACAAGCACAGTAAGTGTTCCTTCCCACTACTACAGCCTCCCTTCAGCTGCCTGCTCCTATTAATTCATGGCTGCTATAATAATTGTACTTGCTAACTAAATCCTTCATGCTGCTCCATACACCCACAGCCCCTAGGACTGGTAGACACAGCCCAAGGCCTTTGAGGAGCAGGGAGGATGCCACCAACAAAGATGCCCTCATCCCACCGTGCCTTAATCACTGCAGCTAAAAGAATCAAATTGTTCTTCAACAAGATGTGGCAGAGAGCAGTCCAGCCTGCATGGCTTACCTGACCCCAGCTCGAGGAGGCTGAGAACCAAGGTGAGCATAAGAGCCATGGATGTTTCTTCTCGATCAAGCTCATGCTATGGAGAGATGATGGGAGGGAAAGACGGATGGCCCAGAGAGAAGAGAAGCTCTGGCAGCAACCTGAGGCACAGGAGCCATGGGAAAGGAGTGGCTCCGTATGATGTGACAGAAAGTTGCAGTGTTCTCCTTAGAGTCTCCCTGGCACAACCCAGGCTGTAGGCACCAGAGATATAGGGACTCTGGACTTTGAAACCGTGTTTACTGGCAGCCCATAAACATTTATCTCAAGCCAGGGAAGTAATGGTAGTAGGGTGGGTCAGACTGAGAGGAGATTTGTTCTGTCAAAAGTGTACCCTGGGTGATGGCATGGGAAAAGCAGCTTCAGGGATCACTTCTGTTCCAGTCTGGCAGATAGAGCAGTGTGTAGAGGGGTGGGTAAGTGTCTAGTGCTGGAAGAGAGGTCATCCCAGCACAGTGTAATGGGGTCTACAGATTTACAGAGTGATGCCCTTGAGACATGAGACCAACACTTCCTGGTGCGGCCTGAGGCAATACTGCCTGCCACTCCCCTGTCTTGAGTTCAGTGGCAGTGAGGTGATATGAAGTCAGGTGGGAAATAACTTGCTCCAACTCAGCAGGACCTTAATCTCCAAGGATGGCAGATACTGAGAAAGGCAGCAGGACAGGCCCTGGTTTGGGAGAACGGCAGAGATCCACTGATTTATTTATTAGTTTCCCCAAGCCACAGGATTTAAAAGTAGAGACAATGCACTCTTTTCAAACTCACAGAAACTCATAAAGGTTTCCTAGTAGACCAGACTGAACAGATAGATAACACGACAAAAACATTGTCTAAGTATGAACAACTAAGGTTAAAAAAAAGTAAGTTGAAAATAGCGTAGTGGTGCCCACGTGTAATCCCAGCACTCAGAAGGTTGAAGCAGCAAATATGAGGTCTGTGCACAGCCTGGCTAACTTAGGCTCTCAGTGAGACCATCTCAAAATAAAAAAATACGAAAATGGCTAGAGTTGTAGCTCAGTACAAACGCCCTGTGCTCAATCTCTAATACTGCAAAAAGCAAAATAAAACAGTACTCTGTGAACCTATTAATTGTTTAAAATACAATTTTGTTTGTTTTTCTGTTAACACAGACAAAAATGAATTTTAATTTTTATTTAGTTTTTGCTACCAGGGAATGGACTCAGGACCTTGTACTTGTGAGGCAGGCAAGGTGCCACTGAGCTAAAACCCCTGCCCTGTATTTTTATTTTGAACTGAATATTTATAATTGTACATAATAATGGGATAAAATGTTATTTTTGATATAGTTATATTGTATGAGAATTAAATCAAGATAATGTTAATAGTTATATTCATCACCTTATGTACTTTTATAAGACAATTTCAAATAGGAAGTACGTCTAAAACAACTCCAAATAAAATCTATCTATATTTAGAGCAGAAAAAAATGAAAGATTGTATTTGCAGCTGTTTCCTGTTTGTAGTCTAGCTCTAACATCAGTTCCCTGAGCTCCAAACAAGAAGGGGGTAAGTTAGGAGATCTGGTACTATCATACCAAGACTTACACAAAGCATTTCCTGCCATCTACCTATAGGTGGTAAAGCACCCCAGAAGCAACTGGCTACTAAGGGGTCTGGAAAGCTGTGTTCATGAATTGAGAAGTAAAGAATTTTCATCCTTACGAGGGTGGTACCATGGCACCAATTTTGCAGACCTTAGCAGAAATCCACTGAGTGCTGAGCACTGATTTGCAATTTGCACTGATTTACAAATTCCCCCCTCTGATGTCTGATGTCAGAAATCTCTCAGCTTTTCAAGACACATTCATGCTCTCAGAGCACGTTGCAGGAAGAGTGAGACCTAGCTGGTTGGCCATTTTGAAAACATCAACCTATGTGCAAACTATGCCAAACATGTTAACAGTTATGCCCAAAGATCCAGCTAGGAAGATAGATGTTTATTAAATGTAAGTAAATATGATTGAGTGGAAAACTAGGGGCAAAAATCAGGTATTGGAAGTCGTACCGTTTTCATTTCTATGTGAATTTTAAATATGAATTAAGGGGCATAAAGTATTATTGCAAGTCACAGTGTTTCATTAAACACATTTCAGGCCAGGGATTTAGCTCAGTGTTGCTGCTGCCTGCCTTCCAAGCCCAAGGACCCAAGTTCAATCCCTGGTACAAAAAAAAAAAAAAAAAGGAAAGAAAAAACATGTTTCAGTGTTTCAATTTTATAACAATTATGAATAAACCTGCTAAATTTTTCTACACAATGAAATTGGATTATTTTTTAAAACAGCAACTAATGCTGTAAGTATTTTTCTCATACATATCACCAATTCACTATATTTCTCTGAACTGTCTTGTATGCAAGTATGGTTTTAGTATGTGTGTTGCCAAAGTAAGCACATAGTGCATGTTTCTAATGTTGTCTATTTTCTGTGCTGTTCCTATAAATTTACTATTAAAATACATAAAACTAAGAAAAAACAACAAAAAGACTAAATTTCAAAATCTATCTGATGCTTACAAAACTGTTTTTAGCCTACCCTAAAAAATGAGGCTGAAAATTTCTGAGCCAAATACCTGACTCAGAAGTTAGAAGCAAGTGGTGGCCCCAGAATGAAAAGGTAAACAGATGAATCTTTGAGGATATCTAGAAGGAAATAAACATATTGATGGGTGGACTCTGAGTTATTGGTGTTTAGGAGATGAAGGTATGAATTTAGTTCAGCTGACCAAGGAAGGCATACAGCAAACGAAGGATTTAGCAAACCAAGGAAAATGTCTTCCAAGGTGATTTAGAAGATGTGTCAGGGATATAAGGAGAAAAGTAGGAGTGGGGCATAGTTGTAAAAGATGAAGGAAATAAGAATGTATGAGTGAGGAAATGATAATCTACAATTAGGGAAATATCAAATAAAAGATGACTGCTATGAGATCATTATAGAATCATGTGTAGCTCACAAGTAGATTGATAATCTCACAGGTCATGACCTCTGGTTTAATGTTCAGCAACACACACACACACACACATTATATTAACCTGGTGGGCTGGGGGAGTGAACAGAAGAGGATAAAGTGAGATATTTGATTAGAGTACCTTCCTAGAAAAAGAACACAAAAGAAAATTAAAGGCCAACTTCACTCATGAGTATTAACTTTAAGTCCTAAAGAAAATGTTATCAGACACAATTGGTATAAATAACTTTAGTATTTTATAATTTATTTAATATATTATCTATTTAAT